TCTGTTCTTTCATATCTTTCACATTGTGTCAGTATATCAGTCTGTTCTTTCATATCTCACACATTGTGTCAGTATATCAGTCTGTTCTTTCATATCTCACACATTGTGTCAGTATATCAGTCTGTTTATTCATATCTCACACATTGTGTCAGTATATCAGTCTGTTCTTTCATATCTCACACATTGTGTCAGTATATCAGTCTGTTCTTTTATATCTCACACATTGTGTCAGTATATCAGTCTGTTCTTTCATATCTCACACATTGTGTCAGTATATCAGTCTGTTCTTTTATATCTCACACATTGTGTCAGTATATCAGTCTGTTCTTTTATATCTCACACATTGTGTCAGTATATCAGTCTGTTCTTTCATATCTTTCACATTGTGTCAGTATATCAGTCTGTTCTTTCATATCTCACACATTGTGTCAGTATATCAGTCTGTTCTTCTATGGTGTTATATATTATTTTACAGAATGGAAATATTTTGTGCAGTGCTGTTGAATGCCCGCCTTTATTCTGCAACAATCCAATTACTGTACTGGGAGAATGCTGCCCAACATGTCAAGGTAAGACACACATTGCCACTTAACACAATTCAATATGGCACTTTATAATCCATGTTAAATCAAGTTTTAAATCTGATGTTGTCCTAACAACAATTTCTCAAATAAGTTGAAACTTAGTTGAAACTGAATAATTTTTTGTGTAGTTGAATGTATAATTAATCTACCTGTGTTAATTATCTAATTTACATACTGATTTACTTATTTCAAAATGTTTTGTTGATATTCTAACAATAGTTGGCTCACATGAGTTCAAAATTGTAATGCATTCTGTTAAATATCTGCTTCACAATTAAATCACATTGTGTTAATTAGCTAATTTATAAAGTATAAAGTGCTAATTTAAAATATTGAATCAATGTTGTTGCAGGCAGAAATGGCTGTCTGTCAGTTGTTCAGTGAACATCAAAAATATTAAATTCACTTTACACAGGAGTGCTTCCTAACATCTCTAGTATTATTATTATTATTCTTACCCGTAACATCAAAGATGGAAGGGAAAGGTATATTAAGGGAAAAATTTCTGTCTGGCGTTGTTGTTAATAATTGTTATTTTGTGCACAATAACTTTACTAATTCTATTCCAAACTTTATCAAACTTGGCCACCTTATTCATCAGTATAAAGTCTACAATGAGTTTGAACAACAGATGTCCTGTATGAAAATATCGTGCAAAAATTGAGAAAATCTGATAAAATATTTTGACTGCTTCTACTTGACTGATCACTGGTGATACACATTCAAAGGTCACTGATCTCAATATGCACTGTTGTCTGTGTTCAATGAAGCAAATCATTTATCTTGTAATAATATCGCTGGTAATGTATCTCCCAAATCCCATGGGAATACTATACTGGGTTTCAAAACCAACTCATGGAGAGAGTTTTTGTACAGTCTGATACACATTTGCAAACCTACCAATAAAATCTTTACAGAAAACAAGATGTCTGAAAATCAATATAAGCACTCCTATGAACTGGGTGCCAAACTTTGATCAAGATCTGAAGCTAATAGAAAATCTGTTTAGTTCAAAGTTATCATATCAAAAACAATACTGTAACATAAAAAATACATAAAAAGCAAAATGTTGCATCCACATTTTGAAAGAAAATTGTACTCAAAAATAGGTATTCTGTATTTGACAAACAGTTCATTCGACAAATGAAAATTCACAGGAATTTGTTTCAGCTATTAGAACAGAATGATAGAGCTTTTATAATAATAATGTAAAAACGCACTTTAAAAACAGAGATTGCAGTGTTTGAAAATGTAGATTCTCAGGAGGCAAAAGTAATGTTGACTTCTCTCTCCACTGGACACCAACTAACTATTTAAGTTGATTTGCATTACAAAGCAGAGCTTGCAACATGATAGCTATTCATAGAGGGCATTTTTTTACTTTTCAAAGAATACAGTAGTCACACAATGAATATAATAAGGCAGTTCATATTTGTCTCAGTGAATCATTAATTTTTGACAGACACCTGTACAAAATACTTGGGCAAAAGCCAGCTAAGATTTTCTGGTATCTTGCATGTTTTATGAATCTATTCACGTCTAAATGCAACACTTTTTTTCTGAGATGCGGCATTTGTTTTTATAATAAAAAATCTGAATTACTTTGAATAAAGCTGGAAATTATGTCCCTTAAAATAATTAAACAAATTAGGCACCAATGTTTTTGTAAAATATTTACATCTATCAAGGACATTCGGTAAACTGCTTTTCCACTGTTGGTTCAAGCCCAAAACTTGTTTGTTTTCAAAATGAATTATGACAATGCATATTCATATTGAAACAAACTATGATAAAAGGAATAATATTATATAACAAGGGGCAAGGTCACCAGAGTTCAACTATGTTTATATGTTTTTATGCCTGGCAACTGGTCCACTGTCACTGATGTTGTCTCTTCTGACTTTTTTTGTGTGTGTGCTAATTGTAAGTGCTAGTGCTGACACATAGTGCATATTTGCCACAGAAGTTATATGCATGTTTGGGACTACATGACAGGGCTGTTCGACCATCTCTCTATCAAATGACAATTGGCATCAACCAAGCTCCGTCACACAAGCACCTCAACTGAGGTTTCCTGAAAATTGCTTTTATTAGTGAATGAATCTCAGTCAGTGGAATTAGCCTTCCCATTGAGTCTGTGGCACACTTACCCAGGGTAGGAGTCGGTCCTTTTTGCTGTTCAGCAAATTATTTACAATGTATTTTCTGTAAATATTTATCTCATAGATTGTTTGGCAGAAGGAGTAGAGTACAGAGAAGGCGACAAATGGGTGTCAATGACTAATCCATGTTTGTCATGTGAATGTCAGGTAATGATTACTTCTTGATTTATAGTCTCTCATACATTGTGTTAGTTTGTTCTATTGCTTAGTTGATGTGAGCTGTGTTACAATATTGACTATATTGCTATATAGTCCGTTTGACCTATGACCCTAGTTCTTAGTGACCCGGATGTTGTGTCAGCCATCTTGAGAATGTAATAAATACGTACATCCCGTAACATGGTGTCAGAAGTGGTGATATTTGGTGTGATAAGCCACTAAATTTCACAGAAAAGAGACTGAACTAGAAGCGTGAAGACTCGATGAGAGTATTGAAGTGCCTCACATGCAAGGATCGTTCAGTAAGATAAAGTGAGCCTTAACGGGAAAAGAAAACAATCATTCACAGACGAAATATCCGCATACCGCCGTTGCCGGCACTGCCGTAATCCATGTACAAGTGCATTCAGTTAGAGAAAACATGGCTTCTAATAATTTTCCTGTTCCAGCGGTCATGGAAATGAAAGGCGATCTGGTTCAAAACTGGTCATTCTTCCGTTCACAGTGGGAAGACTATGAAATAGCCACAGAATTAAATAAGAAAGATGATCCCATTAGGGTTGCCACGCTACGCTCCGTGTTAGGAAAGGATTGTTTACATGTGTATAAACATCTCGACATGACAGATGCTCAGAGAAAAGAGGTCAAAGAAATATTAGATGCACTAGAAAAACACTTTGAACCCACTCGCAATGTGATTTATGAGAGATACGTGTTCAACACGTGTGACCAAGACGGCAGTGAAGCCATAGATCAGTATGTAACCAGGCTACGCCAGCTAGCTAATACATGTAAATTTGATGCCATCAAGGATGAACTGATCAGGGATAGAATAGTGTTGGGAACCAAAGATAATAGTGCAAGAGCCAGAATGTTAAGAGCCAAAACTAGACCTAAATCGAGCCATAGAGATGTGTAGAAGCAGTGAAATACACAATGCAGCTGAAGAAAATTAGTGGCACCAACCCGG